GAAGAATCAATGCCTTGAATTATGGTGCGGACAGGACTGTTGTAAGTGCTATGGACTGCCAGAAGCACGGACAATATACTTCTTGGAAGAAGTACGGCTAGCACGGCCCTTAGAAGCAAGGATGGTGAGACTTTGCTGCACGGACTTCGGACATGTATGAGGAGAGACCAGTCACTGGAAACCACACCATGCATGGCAGAGGGGCAGCAGAAGAGAGGAAGACCCTCGACAAGATGGTTTGACACCATGGCTGCAACCATGGGCTCAAGCGTAAGAACAGTTGTGAGGATGCACAGGACTGGGCAGTGTGGCTCTGTGGACACCCGGGCACGGCGAGGTGGAAGGAACTTGATGGCACCTAACAACGACCTTGTTTCCATTGTACAGATGAGAAAACTAAGCCCCAGGCTCTGACCCTCAGAGCTAGTACCGATAGGGAGCAACTCCAGGGGCGTTTTCCTCCAGGGCCCCTGTCGTTATCATCGTCTGTGAGAAATTAGGCTCAGAATAAAGTCAAGTTCCCGTGAACGTGCACCTTTCTCTTATCCTATTGGATGCGTAGAAGGGAACGTGAATAAATGATTTGTTTCTAGAATCAACCCCCCAGCACTGGGAGCACCAGCATGTGGGGCCCCTGTCTCTTGGGGAGCATTTACTTTTCCGGGCAGAAATGGAACAGGGAGCACTCACCCAGTCTTCCCATTTCCCCTCCGGGTTTTTCCTGATGATGTGCTGAAGCCGGGCCATCAGAATTTGGCAGGCATTCTAAAAAAGAACGTTGGCAATGACATCAGAAAGAAAGACATGGCATTCCATATTTAAATCTATGGAAATGAAATGGGTTTCATTTCAATGTTAGGAATCTATTTCCTATTTCACTAGGTAGGATTACTAAACTTGAGCAGCATGTGAAAACCTATTGAAGGAAAAGAACACACACACATATCCAGCAGTGTTTACTTACAATTAATTTTATTATGTTATTTAAATATACACTAACATAAAGCTATATAGCGTCTCCTTAGAGTTATAACTCTTTTTTGTTGACCAAAACCAAAGTGACAAAGCCTATGGACCAATCTATACACTTAAGATTCAAAATAACATTAATTTAATTGATGTTTGCCTGAAGCCAAACAGCACTTGGAAATGTGGACATAGGATTGGCCTGGAGTTCAGCATTACTATTATTTTCCAGCTTGAAAATATGGTGGGTAATCTCCCACCATTCTCATCTGACCGGCTATGAGATCTTCATTTTCACTTCATTACTGGCTACCCTCGACCTCTCACACAGGAAAAAACCCATCATTGATGTGTGAAGTCTACCCTACTCTGTTCTCATCTGGCCACAAAGTACCATTCTTGGTCTCAAATGTGGACAGAGATCTTATGGTCACAGTTCACTTATAAAGTGGTCATTATTTATAATAAGCATTCAATAAATTGTGCTTATTTTCATTTAAGAAAAGGAAATTAAAATAGAAAATTATTGTGGTTACACAAATGGAAGAATGTCATATGCTCCTAGACTGGAAGATTAAATATATGGAAATGTCCATATTACCAAAAACACTTTATAAATTCTTTTTTTACATGACCTCATTTATATAAAAAAGGCAGAGGGACTAAAATTTATTGGTGGTTCACAGGGAGGAGGGAGGAAGAGGAGGGGGGAATGGTAATGGAAGTATCACATTGCTTAAAGCACAATTTATTGAATGCTTACTATAAATAATGACCACTTTATAAGTGAACTGTGACCATAAGATCTCTGTCCACATTTGAGACCAAGAATGGTACTTTGTTGCACAGAAAATTATTTTAATTGCTGCCAATAAGTTGCACACCTGCACGAAGCTGAATTGTCAAAGTGGTGCGACAGGTTTATTAAGTTGCTGAGGCTGCTGTGTACAACCTAGCACCTCAGGGGATTTGGTTCCTTGATTCGGAGTTTTAGAGTCATGGTTTCAGGAAGCATCCTGCGGATTGACCTAAGAACATATTGAGTGTTGTGTTCTTCCTCCGAGTTGGTGGCACGGTCACTGGGATCTTAGAAGTGTGCAAGTTGCCATCCAAGGCACAACAATTCATTTCAATTTACCAGGAGCAACAGAGGAAGGAGGAGGGTCAAACACACGAGAAGGATGTGGAATGGGAGGCTGCCTGCCTCCACCAACATTGCCTCCCATGTTCTGAGAAGAAATGGATGGTGCCCTGCTTCCGTTACTGAGCACTTTGTTCACAGCGGCTGAAGAAGAATCTTCATCAAAAGGGGGAAATTGTAGGACAGAATTTTATCATTTCATAGGCTCCGGACATTCCAGAGCCATAAAAGCTGGAGCAATCCATGACACTACCACCCTGAGATTGTTTTTAAATCTTAAGACTACATACACCCTGACCTCTCCTGGGAACCGCACAACAATGTAACTGTTACGGACGGGCTGCTTCAGCATTGTAATCTTTCAAGAGCTGTCTCTGTGGGACCAAGTGGCAACCGCTGGAAGGGTTAGATGGGGAACTTAGGGGACAAGGAGTTTA